ATCGCTGAGCAAACCACAATCGCTGATAGCGTTATGCATGCTCGCAAAATTGCAGTCGAGGATGGTATGCCAGCGAAGCAACTTGAGAAAGTAAAAAATTCGCATGTAGACGTTGATGACGGAGAACTTTCAGGCAGAATCGGCGCTGCGTCATGCAGCCGAGTTTGCGAAAATTGGTATTCGCGCGAAAGGAATTGAACAAAAGGTGCTACAAGCAATGTACGCCAAAAGCGGAATAAGGTAGAGAGTATGAGAGGGTTATTGTGACTGCTCGGATCGGAATGCAGATTTGCGATGCGAGAAGTTGCTGACAGTCTAGCGATGCAACAACACTATTCCACATCACCGGAAGCTATCGCTTCGAAGGCATGTCGGTTAGCTGTCGACTCAGCTCAGGAGGTTCGAAGGCATGCCGAGGACGCTGATATGGTGATGGACATTCCACTGTTCATTCGTACAGCTCATCGCATCAATACTGCTATTGTGAGAGCGATCGCTCCCCAGCATTGACTGTCTCGGCGCAGTGACACTGATTATCATGCTGGCATAACGGGATGCTGTATTTCAGCACGCTCGCGACGCTCTCCACGCTCTCGATGACAACAATACCATAGCGACGCAAAAGCACGTTGAATCTCAAGTACATGGCGCGATGAGGCATCAGAGTATCGCCTCGTCGTCCACCCTATGGTTGACCGTCAATGCTAAGCTGCTGAGAGCACGGGTCGGTCATTCATTCCTCTGAACCCTTGTGTTTGAGTCTCTCGCGATGTCGTGTTCAATACCGTCGCGTGTCATGGAATGAACGTGGACGTGTGTACTCAGTGGATCACCCAGTGAAATACGGTCGGAGGTGGTCCATCGGTTAACAAGTGAAATTCACTCTTGATTTGCCATTGTGCACGTGCATTCGAACAATATTAACATGTTCGCAGAGTTGCTATGCAAAATTCTAGGCTGATGTGAGCAGTATTTGAGAAGTTGGATCTGCTACACATACCGGGGCCTTCATATTGCGCGTAATGTATCTGGAACCAAGGATCCAAAGACTCACTTCGCGAAAAGCATTCCTGGTTTCGGCGGAGGAATCAGCTCACTTCTACAATCATTTACTTGAAATAGCACTGGGGGACGCGCGTCCTCAGAGACTCGGCTAACATCGGGCGCATACAGTTAGGAACTCAGATGAATGCTCTCCGCACTTCCCAAACGGTGTCTCCTTCCCCCTCGAGAACCCTTGAGCGGTGAGAGTGATTGCCCCTCAACGTTCGTTCGAAGATTACCCTGTATAAAGAAAGTTCTGTAGATATTGGTTTAGTATGGCTACGGTTTTATCAAGGTTGCTTTCAGGAAGTCTATCACACTTGCTCGCTACTTTTAGATCGTAACAGCATGACATGCTGAGCATGCATCAATAACATGATCACTCTCTAATAGAGAGTCTCGATAGGGTTTTTCGCCCCGTGCGGACCCTCGATTCAGCTTTGATCTAACACTAACATGCTGCCGACGGTCCAATTCCAGAATCTCCAGCATTTCTCCCAAGGTTATTCCGCACAGCAATCACCAGGCTTCAAAGGTTTGCGGACTGCGCCTCAACTGCAAACCACACCGGGGTGAGCCCTCGAGGTGAACGAGACGTTCGGATGATTTCTCCACGAAGTTTCATGCTGCATCCGTGGTAGATTTATTTCGTATATATCGCTGTCCTATCAGAACAAATGTGAGGAGCCTCACTCCCACTGGCAAGAGGCTCTCTAACGACCATCTCCTGCCGTTATTCGGTCCTGGTTCGAGCGCCGTTCGATCGTTCACACCGCCGCCGATGAGAAAAGGGGCTCAACCTGTAGTTTCACGACAGGTAATGTCGTGATATTATGCGATTGCTTTCACCTATTCTTCCCGATGAGCCCTGCACAGATAAGTCAACCCGTGCCGGTCTCGCAGAGTCACTCGAACGCCGACCCGAAAAGGTCTCCGAAGGTTGAGACCAAATCACCGGAGCTGAAGGCAGGCCAAGTCATCAACATCACAATCGCAAAAAAGAGAGCGAGCGACTTCTTCTCTCTGCGTGTGTGGTGATGTCATCTCAATTTGACGAGGTAGGTCCCGGAGCCCAATGACACTGCTGAGAAGCCGGAGAACCGAGTAACAAGGCCTCCGAGGATGGATGATGATTTGGTGTGTGGATTTATCGACGAATTATATACATTGATAGTGTCATAGTTACGACGGATTCGTCACGTGGCCGAGGAGAGTGCTAGAACGGCATTACTACAGAGCTTAATACGCAGTGACCACCAGAGTGCAGAGTCAGTCCCTGGGTTTGTTATGATACATTAATAGATGCAATATCGATTCCTCAGTTCGGTGGCATCCCTGACTTCTCATTCACCTCGTTCCAAGAAATGCAGCTGTCCCGCGTCGCCATCGAAGCCTAACATTGCCAGAAGTCGGGAGCAATCACCTAGAGTTGCCAATAGAGGTATCTCTCGGCTACGTATTGTGAAGTCAGTTTGGATTGCGATCTTGAATGTGAGGGAGTTTTTCAATGACAATGTTCGACATAGTATGCGTCTTAGACTAGTGCTCTGATGCTTAATGGTTCAGCATTCTCATTCAGTATCTGTTGGTGCATCTGTGAGGACCTCTTTGAATCAACAGAAGCAGATAGCGGAGCTTAAAAACCGCAACGATAAACTCTCTAAGAAATTGGTGAGGGCCAGTAGATGCCGCTGAGCAATCAGAATTCTTCTTCTTAGTCATCCAGTCATGAGGAACTCCGCCAAATGAGATCACGCAACCTATTGCTCGAGAAGGAGCTCCGCACATTGCGTCAGAAAATACACCAGATCGATCACGCCGAGCATATGGCGCGAGTGAGGCTCCATCGCAATTTTCGAGGTCCAAATGGCTCGTTTAGTCTCGTTCAAGACCATCAGCACCGAGGATCGTTGATCGGTTTCGAACGCAAGGCGTAGATGTTCATCAAATGCTTATGGAACAGGTCGGCTATCCGCGACGTGACTATATAGTCGAATGCGCATTCATCTCGATATGGGGAAGCTGTCGCTGACAGACTTCGACTTTCCTATAGGTCGAAAATGCAGAGAATCTTTTAGCGTCAACTACAGCGAGTCTCTCGGGAGAGGCGGGAGCGGCGAGTCTGGCAGAAGAAGACGCGAGCCTCGTGTTAGTCGACTTGTCATATTCGACTCAGTGGCTCGAGAGGTCCGGGCATGATATCACCACCCACGCGGCGTAAACAGGTCACTTCAGAAACGGTATTGCGGTGTCTTGTCCAATACCCGAGAAAACATCTGTGTTCGTTTGTCGGAGTCCGTCGACGGACAACACAGTCCTACTTGGGCTGGTTGATGGAGGGTCCAAGAGCTCCGAGGTGCAGTTGGTCATGAGCAAGATCATCGGTCAGGCAGAGATGACAATCTTGACGCTCACTCGCAGCGGTCGTAGGTGTATTTAACTCTGAGCCTGTCACTGCAGTACGTGAGTCACCTGAAGAAATACTCCGGGAAGCACTAGAGCAAGCAGAAGATTGCGAAAGTCGGGGGCAAGCTTTGAGAATTTTCCCTGTCGTTTCTGATAGATATTAGCGTGTCACTCGCTCTATTGCTCACGGGAGCGGTTGATGAGGTTTCCGGTTCCCCGATGAGAGGGATGTTTCTAGCACATGTTGGGAGGTCCAAAGTGGTGCTCTCTTACAGGAAAGGATTACCAGAAAAGGGAGCTTTCGCCGTGAGATCATATCACTGAACTTCCTTGTGTCTGAACACTTCCAGTATGCTTCTTCTATCATCTCGAGTGTTCTGTCAGCGAGTTGTAATGCTGGATTGTCATCCCGCTATGATGAGATCTCGCGGTCTGGAGCTAAGAGGGATTGCTATCCTCGATAGGTAACATGCTTGAGCAAGGAGCACCATAACAACACAGTTCAGGGATATCAGCTGCGCCCAGGTAGCCAGGCTCAACCTGGCAGGCTGACTAAGCCAGCGCCACTTTGCCTAGAAAGCGCTTGTGAAATCTATTGCGTCATAGACGTCCGTGTATGAATGCTCCTTACATGCATAAAAGCCGCATATATGCATGCAGTATGAGGCATATTCAGAGACTTATTCAGGCATCGACGTCATGCTCGTGCTCGTATCAAGCGCTGTGGCAGAGCATATGACTAACAAGCGGATGGTACTCCATGTGCTCCAGGGCGGACTATCAACTGTTGCAGAGATAACTGCTGGCGCTTTGGTACGTATGGTGTTTGCAATAGTCCCCGATACTGAGGAATTCCGATTGTAGGCCAGAGGACCATCGTCAATGGTAGCCATGGATCTCACCGTGTACGAATAATGGAGTTTTTCACAGGCGTGAGACACACCGTATAATCAAAGATGATATCACTTCTGAGCAGTGTTTTGTGTTAATATCACATCGGGGATTCTGGCTCAACTAGCAATCGTATAAGGTTTCGAGATATCCCGACTCAGGATGAAGATCCTGCATGCACGCATACACAACACGAAATTGCCTCCTCTCGCTTCGATCGGTCCGCAACTTCGAGATTAGTAAGAAACATCGGTTTGTAACGAAGACCGTTACAGACCGAACCGACACTGCCAATGAGTCTCTTAATTTGACAGACTATAACTGATAAATCAACAACGTATCCGATAAATTCTACTCACTGCTCACGGTGGGAGGCTGATTTTACTCGCAGTTCTGGAGCTGTATGCGGGTACTGATTCAAGCGGGTGGGCCAACGTATTGGCCCAGTTGAGAAATCAGGCGATGAGTGTTAAGTGCTGACTAATTGACTTTGCATTGCTTCGAACAATGAATCTTCGACCTGATTCGAGTTGGGAGTTGTTTCTTTGAGCTGTTCGAAATCTTAGTTGAAACATCTCGCTCACAAGGCTGATTCCACAGGTGATGTCTTAAAGCGGGGTATCTCGAGTAATCAGAGAATCAAGGTCTGAATCAGCCATTCATGTTGTGACGAAGTTCATAGTCGTGGCATGCCGTGATGTCTTCTCCGCATGACATGAGTAGTTGTGCCCGTGGACACTGATGAACTCAAAGAGGTTATTTGTGCTTGCTATCCTTATGAAGGTAGCTACCAGCTACCAACCAGCTGTCAGTGAATCTGGCAATTTTATCGAGCCTCAGAAATTTCAGAGCCAATTTGGCACGAGAGTTGGCCAACGCATTGGCCGCAAGATTTCAGTGAGGCCGCCTTGACCACTTTGAACTCCTCCTGAAACATATGCCAGATGGCTCTAGCGTTGAGTCGGCGAATTAACAAACTATCGTCGAAATCAACAATCAACTTATGTAAATAATTTGTTTGCATAACGTGGGCTCGGAGTCTCTGATCATGGCTCTCTTCGATCTGTGACTCAGAGATCAAATTACTCGGGGTTGAATTGACCGGGTTATCAGACAGTTTCGAACTGGCCATATCGCATCTTTCTTGTGGATATTTCGTAAATATTCAGACGCTTGACAACGACTCTTTGATGGCTGTATGTCGGCTGGCGCTTTTCTGAGAATCTATCCTTGAACATCTAGCTGCGGGAGAACAACTGTCTGCACTACACTGTAGAACTCACCGGAATCGTCAGGAACCAGCGTCTCTATTGTTTTATGGAAACGGAATCTATACTTTTCCGGGAAATGATGAATCAGATATCTGAAGGACGAGCTACGAACAGCCCTCAAAACTCCTCCAATCTTGACTACACGAAAGACGCACAGGTTGGACGCCGCACCGAATGACTAAATGGCCTACCCGCGGAGAGAGTTAGATGCAACTATTTTGCCGGGTATACCCGCTGTCTCGACTTGATTGGCTATCGTGACATCAACACCAAAGATGTCATAGTTGATCTTCGTGGTAGCTGCGATGGAAAGTTAGGATGAAGTCTCCATACACAATGCTGTTCGAAATTACAAGCAGCTACTAGGCTCACCAATAATCCCGCCAACGAATTTGCCGAGGTGCAAGCCTATTCGCATTTCCAATTCCGGCGCCGACATTTCCTCGCGAACCGTACTGAGAGCCTCCACCATTGCCTGTGCGAACGATACCATCTTGCTAGCGGACTGTACCTGCCACTAGTTGTTGTTACCAATCGGATCAGGACCGCAGAATCAATTCAAATCCACCGGTAATCTGTGCAGAGAGTTTTAAATACTAAAATACTGGTCGGCAACTGATCGCTTCATACGAGGTCCAGACTGGACAATTCAGTCTGGCAGTGTCATATTATGTGACTCACATACGTGCTCAAAGCATACAAGACGACCTTAACACACGATCGGGATTCCATAACATCAGTGACGTTACATCACTATTCTATGATAGTTTCAGCGGTACGACTCAACACACCTTATCCACTCCCTCTTTGGGTTCAGTGCTCGAAACGTAGGCATCCCCAATAGTATGCACCTGAGCATCAGCAGACACCAGTCGTGCTTGAATGCTCGCGTTGCATCGCAGAGGAATGACACACGAACGGGAGCATCCTTAAAAGATGTAGCTACGGGTTCTAGAGCTATCCGAAGAGCTCACCTTGTACACCCCGTGAACATCCGATAAATCGTCGAACCGCGAGAATAAGTTGGTGAGAAGAGATACAACCCGCTCGGCAGGGGCGCTCTTCGCATAGGCTGTGTAGTTACATATGTCGGCGAACAGAAGGGTCATATTTTTATACAACGACGCTATGTACTTGTCTGCTAGATAGCCTTCCAATGCCTAAAGGAACCACAAGGACATACTCAGGAAGCCTTTGTCGAAGTCAGGACCTACGGAGGAGGGCATGAATTCCGACAATAATCGACGGACTCGTTTCTGCCAACTTCGGTACTCAATGTTGGTTAGATATATTCTTCTTTCCCAGGACTCTCTCATCCGTACCATGATTGCCGCAACGAAGGCAAAACAAGCAGCCAATCTTGATATCTGCGCAGAGTCACCAGATAAGAACTGCGAATGCGAGGAAACATAATAGTTCAAGTCGAACATTTTTCACGCCGACAAGCCTCTAGCTACGCTGTGCTTCTACTTGGAATTAGTTTGAGATAAATCTCCAGAGAACAACTGTGTCGTGGCGACTACCTCTATAGCCAGGTCAAACCCCACGCAGTCACTGAGGTTCCACAATACCAGTACTGGCACGAGGATGATGATGTTGATATAGATGAGATGCTTGAAAAGCAATGCCGCTTTGAAGTTAATCACCATCAACCACATGGTCAGCTCGAGGCTATTCGCGTACGACTGATACCTGGCATGGTGCTGGCGAGAAACTGATTATGATAGACTCTGACGTCGAATGGATGACCAAGGTTATCACCGATCATTGGGTCAGCACGATCTATTACATTATAGTAGTGGACTCATTTGTGGTGTCCAGACTGCTACATGCCAGGTCATCATCGACTTCACAATATTGTAGCCGTCCCGATTCGACAAACGCGTATGTATGTAATGAAGTTAGCAAAATGCCAACAGCGTAGACTACGACCGTGAGTAGTCTCAGAGCGGATGCGGGTATGATATTCCCCAGCGAATGAACGATATAGAGTACCATCAAAAGGACCGATACGGTGATACGAGCAAGGAGGAGACGGGAGAGTATGATTTGTGGCTGTTGTGGTACGGCGACTAGCTCGATGGTCTGGAGGAGGTAAGACACCAATAGTATCAATAAAACACGTCGCGTCCATTTAGAGGTTGGCAATGTCGCAAGATGTTCTTTGCGAACTCGATCTCATGAGCTCTCTGTAGGAATTCCAGAGTGAACAGGTTGGCCCTGTCTCTGCCGAGATCGGTATACTCGATGACATGCCTCACGTTAGCATCACGACTTTTGCTGCGGCGTCTCAGGGCCTCAACTGTCATCTTTACATCGCGAGACTCGTCGTAGTGAGCCGAACTGTCAGTGTAGCTCACATATTCCTCATCACCCGAATGGACGGAAGAGTGGTCAGTGTCGTTAACAGAGGTTCGCACCGTCCTCCTACTCCTCCATACAAACCGCTTGATGCCTGCAGAAAGCCTCTCAGCAAGGGTGGCTGAGGCGCTGACTGATGGTGCACTAGCACTAGACCGAGAACGCTTTAGAGAAGACGCCAGTCTCCCCACCTTCTCCCCAATGGGAATGCTAATCGCGGCGGCTGAAGACTCTGCCCTCGATACTGTAGGAGATGATACACCAGCATCTTGCAGTGGTCCAACAGCCCGCGAGGCATTGTAGGTTACCAACATACCTTTACCTTTGACGAATGTCTCACGCTCCTCGAAAGACAGGCTTGGAGAGAACTCCAAGCACTTCCGCGTGCTCGCAGAGAGGTGAATACAATTAGGAACTGCAGTGGACTTCATGCGCGAGGCGGTATTGATGGTATCCCCGAATATACAGAACTGCGGCCTTCTCGACCCGACCACGCCGGAGATGACCGGACCGGTGTGAATGCCAATTTTCATAACGAGGGCTATCGGGGTGACCTCCGCAAGGGAACCAGTAGCCAAGTTCTCGTGGTCAGTTTCAGTTAACACATTTATGTAAGCAGTATTGTCCAGTATATCCAGACCCAAGAGTACTGTTCGAAAGGCATCCTTCGACACAACGCGATCTGACGAGTCGCTATCAGGGTTCAGCCCACTGCAGACAACATAGGACTCGGCGACCGTTTCGAGCTTAGTCAAAGCGTGGACGAACACCAGTTTGTCTATCTTGCTGAATAGTCGATGCAGTATCAAAATGAGCTGCTTCGGCGTTAGTGCAGCGACCAATTGCGGGAAATCGGCCACGTCGCAAAACAGTACAGTAACGTCTCCGCAGCGCCGGGCAAAAGTTCCTATCTCTAGTGCAGAGAGTGCTTTCGAGTCGAAACTCGAGATCCTGGAGATCAAAGGGGACTTCCTCGACACGAACAGAGAGCGAGCGTCACACCCCATCCGAGCTGCGAGATCTCGGTTGCCGTCGATGATGGAATCAACAACGTATTCAGGAAGCATGTTGTTGAGAACATCTCTACTCCGACTTTGCTCAGCTCTGGAATTGAGTGAGAACAGATAGCAACGTCTCTGGTTTAGTTCAATCTCGTAACCTAGCACTAGGCACACCAGTGTGGTTCCGAGCACCATCGGGAGATAATCCAGCAGCTGGCAGTAGCTGCCAAGGCTCGCACCGCAGTCTCGGGAGTCCAGGGTATCCACAATTGAATCGTGCCGTATTTCCAAATCATATGCAAAATGAAGGAGAACGAAGCAGACAATATGGACAGAGGATATGGTCAATGCTCTAGGGAACGGTATCCGAACAACGATGTTAATAAAGAAGGAAGTCCAGGCGACCAGATGGGCATCATCTGTTCTCGTGGGAAGTCTCCAAATGTAGAATCCCACAATTGAAAAGAATGCCAGAGCAGTCAAAAAAGCATTGTAGTGAATCCGGAAGGAGCGTGTACTCGTTGCACAATAAAAACAGAAGCTGACAAACAGGGCGAGGGCAAGTTGTACAGACACCATCCCTGGCTGGACCATCTCCTCGATCACGCCCCAGGAAAACTCGTAGACGAACATGGCTCCGACAGACAACCGGCGTGTTTGACGGCCTCATCCTGTGAGTGTCGCAGATAGCCGGACTCTGTGGCAAGATTATTGAATCTGAGCGTCCTCGGATTGACTTTCTTCAATGCGTGCGAACAGTCGCCCTCCGATGTAGGACGTCCAAACGCACCCTTCCAATATTCCCTCATCACTTCAAGCAGTCGTTGGACACCCAGTGCTCGGGGTTTGTAACGAAGTGCACCTCTTTCTTCCAAGGTTTGGTCCTCCAGATCTTCGCTCAAGGAAAACTCGAGAGGCTCTCCCTTGCAGGCGAAGGTTTCCTTGAGCTTCGATGCGAGGTATGGCAACCCGCGTTTGACCCATTGACGAGGGGCAGCCGCCAGCCACCGTTGGAGCTTCTGTACCGGGGTGGCCGCGGCCCTCGAATAGGCGAGAAATCTCTCAAGTACACTCAAGGAGATGCAGACGCCAACCACAAAGACGGGAATTAACCAGTTGATGAGAGACCCTTCCCAGAGCATCCCAGCCACATTGGCTGCTGCTGACCATGGACGACCAAAACGAGAATAGAGGAAAAGGCATGGTAAGAACGTGCTGATGGAAGCGAAACAGAGTAGTACGAAGAGAGAGGAGAGATGATTGGAGAAAATGACCAATATGACATTAACGGCAACCACTACAGAGTAGTAAACAAGAGTGCCCATGCTGGCATGATCCATCACGCCTCCGTTGGAAGCGAGAGCTGAAGAGTAGCTCATTCCTATAGCGATAGAGAAATAGACTATTGCAGCATAAAAGATGGCTCTCAAAGTCCACCCGAGGAACTTTCTCGCATTGAATGAGATGGATTGTCTCCCTTCACGATACACAATGGGATATCTCGCGACGACCCAACGTGGGAAAGTGATGTCCAAAGCGCCGAGGACTATGATAGGGAGGGAGGTCCAGAGAACATTGTAGGACATCAGGATCCAGGATTCGTACAGAGAGGTGCCCGTGAACGCATTGCTGAATGCGAAGAATACAGTGGGCAGTACCAGGCAGATATTCTTGAAAAAGGAATACAGTATAACGAGCGTGATGCGGTTGTAGCAGTCTCGACCATGGACTAACATCAGCTCCCCAAGGTGAGAGAATGTTGCCACGGCGTAGTCTGAGGCTCTCACTGCCTGCATTCCCTCGCTACCAATAACTCCAATGCCGATATGAGCCATCTGTAGCATAGGAACATCATTCGCTCCATCGCCTATACTCAAGATGATACGATCATTTGCTTCTTTCAGCAGCCGAGTAATCAGCGCCTTCTGTGATGGTGAACTGCGGCATGCTAGCACCGTTTTAGCGTTCGAGATTACATTGGCAAGAATTCCCAAATTTTCTCTAGATGTTGAGAAGCAGGATATAGCAGAGCCGTCCAGTACGACGCAAAGGTGCTTCGTTTTCCCATGGGCCACCCACTGCAGATAATCCCTTTCGAATGCCTTCTGTTTTTCGCGTACAAAGGCATCCGATTCTTCACTCGTCATTTTCGTCTCGCATTCACGGCGGAGGTCCGACAAAAGAGCATCCAGAGGCAAAAGTTCAGAAGCTCGAGCAATGTTCAAGGACGTCTCATACCGATCTCCCGTGAGCATCCAAACCTTGACACCAGCACTCAGAAGTCGCGAAATCGTTGTACTGACGCCGCGTTGTAACTTATCTTCCACAGCTGTGGCTCCAAGCACGATAAGGTTCTTCTCGAACTTCTCGGCTACACGGACAAACCGATCTGCTCGATTTGTTATAGCGTGCCTCGCTTCATTCAAGGCTCCCAGATACTCTGAGGTCTCGACTTCGTCAAGAAACCGCATCGCTAGCATGAGCGTTCGATTGCCGGCTGACGCGAAATCATTGATGTCGGAAACCGTCTCAGCTCGCACGCCGCGCACGGGTATCCCACATAAGGCTAGCGATGTACCGTCTCCAGCGCCTCTCTGGCAAAGTTCGAGCATCACGTCGTCTGCACCTTTAGCCAGCAGCATAGACCCCGTACTATCGAGAATATGACCTGTGCCGCCATCATCAGTCTTCAACGCTTGGACGAGAACACTCATGCGCTTGCGCTCGCAAGTATACTCATTGACACCAAGAATTTTGAATGTAGTATCCTGCCACTGCGACTCCTCTCGTCCGGGGATAGACCGTAATATCTTCAATGTCACGTAGTTCGCAGTTCGGGAAGTGAGAATGTATCCTGAGCTCGCCGCCATTTCCACCAACGCTTCCTCATCTGGGCTAGTGCCTTCAAAACGGACTCCGAGCGGAGATTTAGTCGACGCCTCGGGTATGACAGTATTGCATATCGCACATGTCAACATGAAAAGATGCACGAAAGCCTCCTGGGGACTTGTGATGGCCGGTACTCCCAGATACTCTAGCAACGCTGCATCACGTGAGCAGTTCTCTGCGGCGTTGGGAAGCACTTCACTGCTCCATAATGCGTACAGAGTGGCAGAGTTCACACTCTCAGTGGTGTATCCCATCTCGTCACCCCCATACTGTATGCCGCCGATACTGCACATTCTGAACGTCATGCGGTTCTCTGTCAAGGTTCCGGTCTTGTCAGCCAGAACATAATCAACTCGGCCAAGGTCATCGTTTAGGCCTGATGTTCCCACGATGATCGAAGGCTTGCCGTCCCGCATGCGGGAGTCACGCTGAATGATATATGCCTGAAAGTGACGACCTCTATTATGACTCATCGGGAGATCTGAATCAGTATGATCTCAATACTGGCGGCATGCCATGAAAGCACCATTCATGACGAGAGCGCGCTAAAGCTTTGCCCCAGCTAACCTGTATCGACCTCACGATGTCCACGGTAACGTACAATGATATTGGAATCATATTGTTGAATAAGAGGAGGAATGTCAGAAATTGGTGTCCCTGAAGAGCATCCTGCAGCAGGTTGATGCAACATTCCGAAGTGGTAGTTATCGATGCAGACCTACCCAAGCTACGGTATTAGTGTCTATGCCCACGAATAACTCGAACTTGTCTCGCGACCTGGATGTACCGGTGAAGGCGATCGTTAGCCCCAATGCTAATATCAGAATGAGCCCAAGGACGAAGCCGAGGTATCTACAGGTGAAGCTATTCCTTTATAGGAATGCTCATTCCACTTGCTAGCACGATATAGATGACCGTCAGCCCAGTGAGCGGGGTCCAAGCGACGCTATGAGACTAGCGACAGAGCTAGCCGCTCATTCGGAGCGGCAACACCGGTAGACAGTCAAACGGTCGACTGGCCAAGTGTTAGCTAACTCTCAATTGTTGAACGGAGAGCATCGATAATGCTTTTATGTGACTCACATAATGTGAGGAGTATGATCGGACAACCGCCCGACTGTGTCCGGCGTGGTAACTGTGTCCGCCGAACTCCGGCCGTCGGAGTCTCACTACTACATCACCACCTCAGTCTTGTCACAAGACTCTTGTGTTCTCGATATAGTATCACCAACTTGATGCTTCATGACATGGTCGATGTATCACACCGGCACACAAGAAACGCAGAAGTGTTCTACTCGAAGTAGTACGAAACGCGGAGGTTGCGCATCATCGAACTGTTAGTCATCATTGCCAGAGATTACACAATAGAACCAACTCACCGTCAAGCTCGGTCGCAGATACTGATCCTGTCTTTCAGTGATATAGCAAGTCGAAATGCACCCGGCAGGTGCGTCAGACCTCCGGCAAAGGTCGTCTCCGCGTGTATACACTAGTCATTCGACCCTCGCCTACAGAACGTCAGAACGCTCAAGCGCTCCTTGAGCGCTCAGTATACATGCTCCCGGAGCATTGCTCCGGGAGCAGTGCTCCCTTGAGAGCGTTTATGTTCTGTATCAAGGTCCGATACGACAACATCTAATGTCGTCGGGAGGTTCCCCTCAAGGCCCTTGTCGCGCTACGTTGAACGTGTTCATCGGAACCTCGCGCGAAATACACGTTCGCGCGTCCCGGAACGAGGCGGAAAATGCATGGTAGCATGATATAGCTGAAGCCACTGAAGTAGAAGTGCTCCCCGTAGTGTTAACCTTCGCGGACGTATTCGAACGCGAAAGCGGTATCACTGCTATAAACATCCCGATTCTGGCTATGGAAAATCTACAAAATCACAACACGCAAATCGATTTCCCCCCAAAACCGGCGAAGTTTCAGTGTTAATTCTAGAGGATTTACGGAGTCGATGGAACAAACTATGACACGCGGAAAGGCTGTCACGCGACAATTCTCTGAGAGTTATTGCGCTGCGAGGTGATGAGCACAGAGAACACTTCCGCGAACTCACGAGCAAGTAAATATGCAGAAAATTCTCTAGCAAAACCTTCACTATATGTTCTCAGCTCGATAACTGCTATCTATCGAGATCCAAAAGCATTAGAACAGTGGTGAACGATTGGTTATCGGAACGCCTCGGCTGAGCCGAGTCGGCTCGCCCAGTATCGGAATTTCGCATGATAAGTGTTGATCCCACCTGTTAATAGGGAGCTCCACTTTAGATCTCTTTATTGGGGCGTTTGCCGTCATGTTCATAGCCAACTTGGTGTCTTTGCCCACATAAGTAACGACTCCGCAACACCACGCCGTGTTTCTAATCGACGCTCCTCGAAGTACCTCATCACCGAAAGCAATCGTGATAGTACTGAAAAAGCCGCCCACCTCACACTTACCAGATTCTTGGCATCAGCAGGTTCCCTGTGTCCACCACTAAGTCGGAAAATGCCGTTGAACTCGTCGATGAGATTATTTGGAGCATCGCATTTTACCGATCCGACACACTCGGAAGCTAACGAGATAGAACGGAACATTCGCCTGAGTATCACAACTATGAGTGCTGGTCGATATGTCTTGTGAAGATATCCCCGAACATATTATTGCTGGGTGTCACACTAGACCGCTTTTGACGAGTGAATCGAAGCCCTACCGTGCTTCAGGGAGAGCTTGCTTCACTTTCAACGCAGATTCCCCATCGAGTTGACTCGTTTCAACATACACCATTTCGTCCGGATCGCTAGAGGTTATCAGCAGCATGTCAGCCTGGGGTGAACCAAACAGAAATCTGGATCTCCCGCGATTGCCAATACGTTAGACCATACCGGAACTTCCTCTCCTCTGCTCAGGTATATGATCGAGCCGGCTGTAATGTTCTCCCAAGGGATGAGTTCCAAACCTATCACACGCGCGCATCGTGTCACATGGTCGGACGAGAGTGGCCTGACCAGCCGCGGGGTGCCCACTCCAAGATCTTTGCTCGTTGTCGACTGCAGCTTTCCTTCTCACGACCGCTCGGCACAAGCGCTTATTGACCTGTTGATGACCAGTAGTCGATCGGGAAATGCAGCACGGTATGCTCGATTCAGTCGAGCATGTATCCTCGAGATCAATAGGGTCGCTTGATTTCTTTGCGATCGATGCGGAGTCCGCATCGTTCTGAATGGCGAACACGTATGTCCGCATTGCGGAGATGTCCGCATTGCGGACACGTACGGGTTGCTTTGAACCGTGGGATTTCGAGAGAACATCACTTTAGTGTCATTCATATAACGACGATAATCCTCTATCGCATCTTTGAGCATCGTCAGACTGAGCACGAATACCAGCGGCGCGATGGTGGCCCACTCCGAAGTAGGGCTCAAATCGTAAGGAAGCATCTGGCAGATACCTGCAGAGACCAGGCCCTCAAGCATCGAGAGAGAACTCTTCAATTCCATGACGATGGTAAACTGTCATTGTTGTGCTTAGAATCCCGTGTGCGTTGTGCATCACCCTCTTACCAATGAGTAAGAACCATAAGTTCGCAAAGCGGTGAAACTGCTCCCATAAGTTCCGTGGGATGAAAGTTAGCAGACGGTATTTCGTCGACGGGATCTGGCAGAGATAAGAGTTTCCAGGCGTATGTGGCATCACCACAGGGTGAGTGCTGCAGATCTGCTGCTAGTATACCATGTCAATATACATCACTAGCAAGCGAATAGCGAATAGGGGCGAAGAATCCCATAATAGTCAGCGTCTGACGATTTCGGAAAGTTAATGCTACGAAATCCAGTTAATTTAGATGAAGAGAATTAATGGTGGCACCTCGGTCAAGACCGCTTAGCTGTGAGGAACGATAACTCACTCTATTGTGAAGTTCGGTCCTGTAGTCACGAGAGATCATTGGGCACAGACTCAGCCTACACAGGAGACGATCAGAGCTGCCAGACAGACACATTGAGTACTCATCGGCCACCGTGACGTCGGAACCACGTGCCCTGAGCTCAGCCAACGCTCTGTTATTTCGGGAATGCAAACTAGCAGGCTTGTCGGAGGGATACGGTCCAAATGTCAGTTCTATGGTGTCCGCCTCGGTCGAGTTGCCAGGACTCGGGTTGCGACACCCAGGGGTTGAGTCGGCTCGACCAAATTCGAAGGGACTGATCATCGAATTTGGCGAGTTTCTGAGGCACAGATGATTCATCATGACGATGGAGAATACTCACTCTCCCCCTAAGATATTCGACAGCATGCCGCGAACGAAGAACGGAGCCCTGATATTCCCTGGGACAGGCAGTTTGCTTGGAGAATGGGCCAAACTTCTGCAGTCGGTGGAACCTAAAACTCATGAAACCGCAATTCGACCAGAAGAATAGGGCATTGCCTGGGGGAGTAGTGCTTCCTTCAATGCGATCTGGTTGATCGACGTTGAGCTCAGGCACGCGTGAGGACGCGGGCGAGCTGACAGCTATCCGAGGTATGCTATGAGGCAGTAAGATTTCATCTTCAGAGTTTGGTTGGTGTTCAGAAGCTGGATTCGCCATCACAACAACTGCTTACACTCAAGTTCAGTGAATGCATGAGCTCCATTCGGCCCCGAGTGGACAGCTCTTGAGCAAAGATCGCTCCCATACGGTGAGAATAGCGCGATGGTAGCCGGGAAAGATCCTTAGCTAGTCGTTCAGAGGCCGAAAGCAGGTAGGCGAAGTATCGACATACACGATGATGGAGGCTCTACCATCAAGATCAACTATTTGTTGAACACTCTAGTAGAGTGACTCTACATATGCAAACCAGATGAAGAAAGTCACGTCTTATGGTTCGTTCCTATTATAGGCATTTGAAACGGAGCGATGAGTGCCTGGCTGACTCCACAAGGCTTGAGAATTCCTTAGGATTCCTATTCGTGTATCCGCAGCGCTCAGGACGTGAGGCAATCTCTTACCGTAGGACCTAATCATAATTTATCTAGTCATAATAAAATGTAATTCGCTTGGTTAAGCGAGTGTTGAAAATGATTCAGAGCGCTACTCTCAATGATCTCAAACACAGCCCTTGAGGCCGGTCTCTGAGCGGACTGAAGCAGGAGCAAACGAAGTCTTGGTAATAGACTAGCATGCCCCGGGCATGATGCCCGTACGGCCCGGATCGCGCACGCTCGCTTCCTGCAGAGGGGAATGGAGCAATCTGAACGGGTTTAGTAGTATGGAGGTTCAACAGTGAACTATTCGCAAGCACCAGATGCATGCGAGTGCAGCCAGTACACTGCCAGCGCAGAGCCGCCCTGGTAGCGTGTCTGTCTCGATCACACTTGACGTCTAACTCAATGTTGCGAGAATGCTCGGCACCTCAGCTGTCAGGCTCAGGTGTAGCTAGGGAAAGCCGAAACATACGGGGTATTCAGAAACACTTCCAACACTTCCGGCCGACTGTCTCTCGCTGACCACGACAAGGTATGTGGCTCATACGGAATATTGGTGAATCTATGAAAGTAACGGCAATATGGCCTGATCGTTAATGTGATTGGCTCGCTGTGCTGGCTGTGAGGGATGAAGGCCAAGAGGAGTGACGGAATCAAGAGACGGAGTCGATGGCCGCAGCCTTAGGGCAGAAGAGAGTGATTGTTGTATCATGTATTGCTCGTAATTAAGGACCGTTTCAATTGGATTGGCTCGTTCGCCCAACATAAATGCCAGGAAAACAGCTATTTGGAGTTGGGTTACAGAATCGAACTGGTCATACTGCGAGGAGCGACATTTCGTCGTGAACCGCACTGTGAGCCTCCACCATTGCCTGTGCCAGCGTTGCCATTCTCTCTGCGGGCTGTACCTGCCGATATTCACCGCGGCGAAGGAGCCGGTAGAATCTGTAGGGATAAGTTGCCGCCAGGCTCTTGCATGGTGCTGCCATCCAGGAAGATCGACCGTTCACTGAGCGTTAGTGACGCTGCATCACTGTGGGAAAGCCGGAAGTCTTTCAACGAGGCGCCCTCAATGAGGCCGGACGTAATCGTCACTGCACGCGGAGTTCAGCATAGCCAACCCACGTGAATGATCAGAACAAGAAACATAATCATATCACATGAGCACGTTTCAACAGTTTGGCCAGACTATTCTTGGCGGCTTCAAGTTTGAAGCAGCAGTATAAGTCGCCACACCTAGTCGACGTCCTCTTTCAGTTCAGTACTCACAGCATACCAGCTGTGAGTACCGGTAGTATGTACCGGTGAGGCCACCTCTTAGCATCAGTTAAGATTGGTGTGCGGGTAACCCTGCAAGATAATTTGCGTTGGGGAGTGGCATATTTATTGTACAGAGTTCGAGCCATGGGAGTGAGGACAAGTCGAGGAGTTCCCTTTTTACACTTTGTGAGATTCGATGCCAATACAGCAGCAGCAGTATTAGTCTAATACCATGCTACCGTGGTAATACTCCTAATAGATGCTCTAATACTATGAGGTAATTTCAAGTCCTCTTCAAGGTTCTGGTGATGGAGTACTATCCTCGATGTTATTCGCCGCCTGAATGCGATGCGCGTCACTCTCCCACCAACAAACAAGAACCATAGGCTCACAACGCAGTGAACTGTTCCCATAGGTTCCGTGGAACGAGCATTAGCATACGGTAGTTCGACGACGGGATCTAGCGGGAAAGGCAATACGAATGATAGCATGACATTCTAGCATACGTCGAGAACAAGGTACTCTCGACAAATCGCTATAGGATCCGCGTTAACGACTATCGGATGGCCACATTAAACAGAGAGCTCTATTTCAAACTCGTTGTCAGGAATTAGCTCTTCAACTGGTGAACATTACGCATGCACTACACAGATATAGAGGAGACTGAGAGCATTTCAAGCATTTGCAGTCTCCTCGTGAATAACAGCGCTTGTCTATTTCAATCAACGTCCCATCGGCCAGTGATAAAACCGCCCATAGTTTGTTCCCCCAATACTGAGAACGCGACATTTAGGAGCATTTCAAGCCATCATCAGCTCCCACCCAACTTGTTAAAAGACAAGCGAGTGGGCTCTGACTCTGCCGTTGTACAGGCATTGTAGTAATGATAACCCATCACCGTAGTGGTAGTAGCAGGCAACAAAGTTTCCGGACGACAAGATTTAAGCTCTGAAGCTCTTCTTGATGGCGCTGTACTTCTTGTTGGCAAGAGGGACAAGGTCAGGGCGAGTGAGGGCCAACTGAGCCTTGATGCTCTTCTGGGCCTTCTTGGTGTCTAAACACGGCAAATGATGCTACACTCTATCACTGTACTATTACTCTTGGAGACACCAGTGGTGGTGTAACGGTGGCAAGGCTTCTTGGTCTTCTTACTGGTAGTGAGGACGATAGTCTGCTTGTTGCCAGTGGTCTGGATGTCCAAGCCACCAACACGGACGTTGGCGATACCCGAGTAACTGGAAGAGGATAGAATGCTACGACATTATTACTCCAAAGCGGTCTTATTACCCAGCACGGTTGAGGTTGGTCATGTTACCAGGCTCAGTGGTGAAAGCGGCGGTGTTGGCGCGCTTCTGAATGAAGCAGTTGTTGTTACGCACGCACTGCCAGAGGAGTTGCTGAGAGGCCACCATTATACTGCTTGTTACGGTGATAAACACTACTACTGAATACGACACCACTTCGCCCAATGGTAAATTCACAAAACGCAGCTATACAACGCAACTCGACGACCTTGCAATTTTAGAGTACGGAAATTTCCAAAAACTCCATGAACCACCAACGATGACGCATTCCTAAGAGATTCCACTCCTACAACCAACGCGATCCACAGGCTATCAGCGACGTACCTACGTTAAAGAACCAAAAATTCGCCTAGACGAAGCAGCTACTAACAAATCGATCACTTGGGCGAGCGAGATCCTTCCTACTACGCATGATTATGACTGTTATTTCAAGCAAGTTTCTAGAACTCCCTTTCCGGCGCAGGCGGGGGGATGAGTTAGACGAAGTGGAAGATAAACGAGTGGTTGTATTTGAGGTCTATCAGCCAGGGAACTCCTCTTCCGCGGTTAGGCACCACGGTGGTTCTCGAAAGTGTATGCGCTCTAGAGACGTGAGTCTACTTTTGTTGGCAACAAGTCTGCTGAAGTCGGCGATGAGAGGAAATTAACAGGGGAGTGATCAACAGATTGTTCCAATGGGTTCAGGTCATGAAGTTTCACGACTGCGGTGTTGGTGAAAAAGTTCTACGGAATGTGATTCGATGAAACGGCTGAGGTTAGTCGCGCGCATATCTTGGTATCGCGCCCGCCCGTCCCGGAGTAGTCTTCGGCGAAAGACTACATTCTAAGTTGTTTGCACATGATTTAATTACATCGTGTGGTGTGATTGTCAACAGTTCGCTTCTCGTGTTCGCTTATCATTTCTCCTTGCGATATTGTTATCTTTCAGCTTCTGTCGCTTTACTCGTATGAGCCATGAAAATGTACAGCCTCAAGTCATTGCTGAGCTTATGCGACAACTTCATCGACAGCAGCCCGCTAACTTCCTCAACTCGTGCGGTCCTCCGGAATCCTCAACCAACGCTCAGGAGCATGGTATGCTCTGCTGCATCTCGATCGCTGTCATTGCCATCATGTCGTCAGGCATTCTAGACGGGGCGCTTCCGAGCTGGCTGAAGGACAGAAGAGTAACTCTACCCAATGCTATGGATCCGACCGAGATCCATGCTGTCGTTCGTGGTTCACAAGTGTCACCATATTCTCGCGGTTTCTTCTCTCTAAAGTAAGCTCTTGTCGGTCATTGTGTCGCAGCCTTCTTCCTTAGACTCCTCATTGAAGCGGAGTTCCCGAGGCTGCCTCCTCGAGTGGTGTTCAGTACTAGAGTATTTCATCCTAATATTGATGAAGCCACAGGAGATGTGAGCTCCCTTTCTCTCGGTCGGACGATGTGATCGTTGTTCTGTTGGTGTAGGTTTGTAAGCTAGCTTTGGGCCGAATGTGGTCCGGCGAGAATTGGAGCCTCCAACAGTTTCTGGAGGATATTGTCGATCTGATGGAGCGGCCGATTTTGGACAAGCCGCTCAACATGACCGCGGTAGGCGCAGCTGGTCCTCGTGACCGTTCTGAACTGCATTACGACGTCAGGCCAGACTGTTCTCTGCTGACCGTGACGGGTATGATCGTCGTGCTCGACTGTGTACTGTATTGCATGCTCTGCCCCGCTCGTTGACTCCGGTCAAACGTCGACGTACCTCCTCGAGCACCAGCTCTGAGTATTGCGAGTTTCACGACTTAGTTCAGTTTGATGACGACGCTTATACTAGAGTAAGTGTGAATTTGGCGATTTGTGATGTAGTACTTCTTTTATCAGGATGTTAACGATGAAGGACTAGTCTCGATGGCTGCCATTGCAGGAATGGGGTTATCTATAGACTCCATTGAAGCGACTGAAGAAGATGCGTTTTCCGATTCGAATAGTCCTTCTACGCCGTGCGCTATGAGTGTCGATGGTGACTCTGAGCGGAACGACTACGTCCCTTGTCAGAGGGTTCCGTTGGAGATCGATGTTGACGATGACAGTAGCAGTGATGATAGTGAATGCGAACAGCCAGTGGCCAGTGATGGTATGGTGACTCCACAGCAGAGCTATCCCCGGTATTCTCCTTCATCTGAGCTCCGCAGCGCTCAGAGGCTTGCAAGTACTCCTAAGGGTGGATTATTCGGCAGAGGTAAGCTCCTCGTTTGAACGGCTTGTGATTGTTGTTCTGTAGATGCTTCTCCGCTCTGTGAGTCTGCACGCGTACGCAGTACTCGTCACTGTACGACCCCCCGAAGCCCCTTCCTTGGTACGCCAGTCCGAGCGAAGCCTGACGTTAAGTCAATCAGGAGGTTATAGCTGGTACTTGTGCTCGACTGAGTACTGAACATGATTTGATCGTACTGTTGTTAATATATCTAGCCCTTGCGGGTTGTATAATTGGCTGCTGTTGTTAGCCGTTGGCTCAACACCATCGAGTATGTGACACCATTAGTGTGAACATGCACAGGTGGTTGAGTAGTACAGTTCTGCCATGGTCATGAAGAGGAGGCGTGAGTCTTGTGTTCTTGTCAATCTGGATGACTGGGTGCGGTGAAAAAGATCTTATTTTAATCGGTGATGGTGGACGAACGGGATGCCCTTGCGAGTTTGGACCGCTACTTGTGTTTAAGGCGGACCGTAACTGCCTCTGGAAGTGATTGCCTGGTAAGCAGTGGTGAATCCTGTCGACAGTTTTACATTACATCGGGTAATAGCTCAATACGCTCACTAACATGGACTTGTTATCCTCAAGGCTGTGGGAGTGATCGTTCTAGTCACAAGCTATGGAGATCGGTATGGTGTAGATATATAGTATGCTAGTCGATTCGTCGTCCCTTCATGTGGCCGCATCGTTGATTGCTGTGATGTCTGAGGTGGTACCATTGAGCTCAGGTTTTGGTCTGTGGCCCCGATGGGTCACTCAACACCGGCAGCATGCAGTGTGCGCTGCATCTGTTGTATGGCACATGTAGCATGAATAGACATGATTTTGAAGATGATCTCGTCCCTTGCTTGGTCAGCCGGGACCGTCCTCAATGGTTCCGAGTTCTCCGAGAGGGCTGATGAGCTAAGCGAGCTCTTCATAGTGGTGTCCGGGAAGGAGGGAATGTGGAGTAGTATTGTAACTCACGTTGCTGGAACTCATTGGATGAGTTTGCTTTCCTAGGTACTATATTTTGCCCGGAAACCATGGTGTCGAAAATCAGCAGTGTAACCCGCTTGTGGCCTTCGACATTGGTGAGAGTCGAGTCTCGTAGAAGCATAGGGCAGGTTTCCCAAGTATGGAGAATAGGTTTTCTCGGCGGATATGGAAACAGATATCGACGACTACGACTTGAAGAAGACTGGTGCTTTCATTCGCGCATTGTCGGGGAGGACAGACATAGGTCTTTGTCAAAGTTGTGGGTCTTCTGTTGAACTGTGGTGTATTTGTAATCGCAAGTATATTTTGTAATCAGTGTTCGGAGAGAAGCCAAATGCTAACGGGTTGAAGATGAGCTTAGAGAAATGGCCTCTGGTGAGTATAAAGTACTGGAACCGAGAATCGAACTCGGGACCTATCGCGTGTGAGGCGATCGTCATAACCAACTAGACCATTCCAGCGATGTGAATCGAAGAACCATGTGCAAGTTTATCGCCTCTACAAGTCCCTCATCAGGTGAAGGCTTACGGTTATGAGGGCTTCGCGACGCCAGGGTTCCTAACTCTCTCTCGTAACGTTACCGACATCAGCGAGTTGCTCCGGCGTGAGGTCTTGTCCAATTGGACGCCTGCCGCTGCTTCTCGTGCTGCCCAGGGCCATCCAATGAAGGAGTTGGAGGTGGACGCGTATCGGCTTTTGAACTCTATCAGTCAGCCTTCAGACTGCGTGGAACCAAAGTATTGCTGCTGTGACCAGAATGGATGGCCGCGGCAGCGTCGTTCTTGAAGAGCTTGGGAAACCTTTGATCGAACTTTATGAGTGAGTGAATGCACAGTGTCGTCTCTAATAACGATTGTGCAGCTACGGTCAAACGGGAGATGATGAGATTGGTTCGGCCAGGGCAAGGCGGCTGGTTCCGGGTTCTTGGGTGGGCACCGAAACGCTTGCTCTGAGAGAGGGTTTTGGGGGGGTTGGGGATTACAAGGAGGGAAGGGGAGGCTACATGGTGTGGGAGATATGGGTTGGAGATGGATTGAACATAGTGATGTAGGTATGGAAAGGAGTTCATCCAGAAACTCGTATCGCTTGCGCACGGACATACCTCTTGCCGTCCCACGATACGTCTGATGACGACATGGAAGAGATTGAGTCCATGACAATGGAAGCTATTCGACTAGTCCGGTCAGAAGAGTCCTTCCTATGAGTGGTGAAGTGGTGATTTGGATCAGAGATGCTGCCGGGGCTATCGGTAACGGCGAAGGCAGCGCTGCCGGGGTGAAGGTTGATTGGATTGATGCATTCGGATCAACTTCGGAGAGGAGGCCGGAAGGAGCTGAGATTACTTGCGCTTTTATATCGGTAGTTGGCGTTCGAGTAGTGCTGGAGTCCCACTGCCCAGTATGATAGGCAGTCGTCACGAGCAAAGACATAACGGTCGTCTATGGGGATACCTACATGGTAGTAGCGGCCACATGTTGGGACGGTAGCGTTGTTAGTTCCGAGATGGGGGAGAGGACGTGATCGCGGTCACCACTGACAGGATGCCGCAATTGACGCCTCTATCTTGGAGCTGTTCGAGGTCGCAGATTAGGGAGAAGTGTGCAGTGGAGGACGATGCTGCAAGGTATGGGAAGTGCGTGCCGAAGACGACAGTCTCGTCTGCAGGTTCCTATCGGAGCACCGAGGGGTCCGTATGGGTCGCCTCTTGCTCAACATGGCAGGGAAGACTATGAACAATAAAGAGACCTCCAGCGACGAGTCGAGGGCGACGAAGAGTCTTGGAGAACTCGAATTTGCACCTCCTGACGTCACAAGTCGTTCGAGGATCGGATTATGGTGAAGTGGTAGGAGTATTTATGGCTTGAATGCTCCGTCAGGAAATGCCACGCCTCGAAGAGATCCCTCCTGGCTCGTGTTGGGATCACGTATGGGAAGATGAACATGTAGGGTGGGCGGCGAGCTGATGGTAGAGAGCAAAAGTGAATATTCATGTCGCTGGTGGGCTCACGCTACTCCCAAGGACTTCCATTTTGAATTTGGACAGCAACAGTGCAGAGCTAGTCGGAGATCTTCCTCATACCGTAGATACAGTAACGGGTTCGCATTGTGTGGTGACGGCTCCAGAGTGCTCTTGGTGAAAATTGACAACGAATCGTCCCTGTGTCTAATCGATGGCATTGGAACTGGCGGGTAGGCATGAGCTCAGTTGTGGTGTACTATTGCTGTGAGAGGAGGTGCTCTCTGCTTCTCTTAACAACAAGGCCTGCTCGTGTCGGGGCAGCATTGTAATATATGATCCCCATCTGCTGACAGATTTTCCTACCTGGAGGAAACCTTGTCAGTATTAAACCTTATCAGTGCGAGCTGATATGCGGTGTGAATCTCCCATACGTGGTTGCCTCGGTTTCCGTTGATCAACTCCACCAGTTGATATAGTTCCTCGTCAGGCCGTGGCTGACCATGTCTATGGAGGGCCAGTATCTCCTCGTGTTTGAGCTTGTCCGTCCTTCTCTGCAATCCACAGACGAGCCCGACGACTACCTGTCATCACCATCACGAGTACTGCAGTTGTTGCGAGAGCGTGGTATCAGTATTGGAGTAAAGGATATCGGCGATCTGCCTATCGAGGTAAGTGTAAAGGCATCTACCATGCTTCTCCCATCGGGCTCAGGTGGCGAGATTTTTAAGAAGTGGGAAGAGCGGAGAGCAGCCTTTAGTAGAGGCTAATCTATGCAGGTGACGCGTCGAACCCCCCCCCCCCCCGGAGACTGGGGTGCAACTGTCGTCACTTCAGGCGGTTCACGCTGCCCCCGTGCGCTGAGCTCTCGTCCCCTCGAGGAGTTGTGTTTGTTGCTGGCCTACCAGGGTCGGAAGGCTCCACCCAGCGCCTTGCCAAAAGTTTGGCTGGCTACCTCGGGGCTAGCTGCCTGCATTTACCATACCACATAGCCGTCACCGAATGTAAGCCAGGTTGGTGTTGCTGGGAAGTCTCAGACAGTCGACGTAGGCATTGGAACAGCTGATACGAGCCGTGGAGTAGTGGTTTGGACTACAAGCATTGAGGATGTGAGGCCAGCCTAGTCTAGAGGGCTACTACTCGCAGCTCTTCCGGGCAGTCTTGGTCATATCTCATAGCTGTTGCTGGCAAGGTTGATGTTGTGGGCTTGGTCGTAGCATTTTTGGACCCCGAAACGTAAGGCCGGCAGTGGCGTGAAGAGGGTAGTGTTGTTCGCGTTGAGGTACTTCCCCATAGGGCAGGAGGGGACGATCAGACACCCACTGGTTGCCCGCCTAATTCGTCTGTGCTCGGCGGTCGTCGTACCCGATCGGAACACTGCGAACAAGTTTGAGCGTTTGATTCACTATGATCTGAGTAAAATATGCGGCAAAGTAGAGCTATTGTGGTATCAGTAGCAGCGAGTGGGTGGTCGACTTTCGAGGTACATCTCCTCCCGATCGGGCCCGATAGACCTCGGGACGTTGCTGACGTGCTGAAGGAGTCCCCAACGATGGAGTGCCTGTACTTGCCTATGGAAAGGGCTGAACTGTCTTATCCTAGGCCGCAGTCGACATTGGAGATCGAACTAGAGGTTGGGTAGGGTCTGAGTTCTCCCTGCAGTGTGTTACAGTTGCCTACCACTGGGGCTGGATCTATTCTGTGTCGGGCCAGATTACGTCAGCTGTGCCAGAGTCTTGGCCTTGGTCGTTTTGGTCGCTACCTTGACCCTGAATATAGGTGAGCGGTACGATGGCTTTCGGGTAGTCCTATGGGAAATGGACAGGTGGCCACTGCCTGAGGGGACTATACTGTTGTCGGTGGTGGTCAGAGGTGTTCTTTGTGATGACGATAATGTGCCTGCTGATGCGCTTCTGGATATGGTCAGAGCTGGAGCATGTAGGGGAATTGGGCGCAGTATAGTTGGAAGAAGTTGTGGTAAGGGACGCGATGGAGTTACCCGATCGCTGAGAGTCTCCTCGAGGAGGAAGGGGGTCATGGGCCCACCATGAGGGGAAGGTTTCTCGCTCCGCATGGTTCGACAGCTCGGGCATCTGATATTGGGAAAGTCAGTTATGAGTAAAGGAGTAGTGCAACGTAGGTTGTTTTGTTTTAGGCGTTTATGGCGTTGGTAGTTCGAGAGTGTTTGCCGAGTATACTGCCTCGTGAGGCGCATCTCACAGATTCGGTAGTAATATTTCATTATAGTCGCTGCCTTGAATGACGCAGTAGGCAAGTACTCAAAGGGAAGGCATGAATAGAATCAGTTGCTAATCCTCATAAGGTGTAGGTGGTTCCTGCCGATGTTCGGGAAGCAATACTGGAGGCTACTGTGGGGAAGGAGCTCCCCAATGGATGGTTCTATGACGGCACGTTCTACCTGGACATGAACTCTGGGAGGAGTAAGGTCCTCTCAGGCCTATCGTGCGATGCCGATGCTGCGTGTGTATTTTCTCAGGGAGCAAGTTGCATCCAGAGATGTCAGCGCGGTTGGCATCATACGTGGCTGCGAGGCAAACTGAGGTGAAATTCTTGACGTTATCCGCAACTTTGTGGTTACGTGGTAGTCCTCAGCAGATGTGTCGGTTGATATTGGCGCGTTGCTAACACGTTTTCGTTCATAGTCGTTTCAGGTCGACGCACACAATGTGGCAGTGATAACGTTGAGAAGAGCTGCTATCGTGAATTGATCGCATGTTGGTGATGATGATGTTGTTAACCCCTTCTCTCGATGCACTGCATGTGTTGGCTTTGGACTAGGCATGTGGGGTGTGTATTGGATCCTCCTTAGCAGTCAGTTGTAGCCATGACACTAGGTCTTCGGTGCGAAGGGGCGGAGCTCGCTGAGCTTCCTATCAAGAATTCTGCGGGCTCTTATTGAGATTATTTTGAAATTGGGTGACTAAAAAACAAAAGGTCGTCGGGTGTTGGCTGGCGTCGTCGACGTGGCCGACCACTGTCTCCTTATGGAGACATGTGAGAATAATGACCATCGTGGGATTTGACCCTAGGTCATTCGGTTGGGAGTCGTGAATACTAACGTGCTGAGCTAACAGTTCATCACTTGTGCGCAAAATCGTTTCGTGAAAAATAAGCGGGCAAAGCAACAGCCACACTTTCGCTATATTTTTACGCTGATGAGGAGTCAACGGGGGACAGAATGATACCCTGTTTGTCTTCTGAATCGCCCTGGTCGGGTCAGAATTTTTGCTCACGCACGGTCGGTCGGTCGGACGGACGGACGGACGCACGCACACGAGTGTTCGTGCGCAGTAATATAAGCTCCGCTCGCTTCGCTCGCTCCGCAATAATCGTACCATAAATCGCTCATCTTGCAGCAGACGAAGGAACCTTGCTTGAGAATGTCCCTACCAGGCCAGATAGGGTGAGGTCCAGCAAGGCCTGCCTGAGGAAGCTCTCCTAATAACATGATGTAGCCGATTGAAAATGTTTATGGTGAATTTGGGTGAAGACGGGGAAGTTTTATCATTGGCTCCTGTAGAGGATAGTGTTGCTGCTCATCGTCATCATGTTGTGCGACATGAGATGAATAATGAGTAGAGTGCAGACTAGTGATGGTAGACACCACTGTTGTTACTACTATGGTGTTGAGTCTATCACTTTGATGGTATATGAGATTCTCTGCTGATATGTGCTGACCTTCTGGAAGGGGCGACTAGTGGGCGTCGATTTGTTTCGATTTGCTGCCGAACAGCTCCCTCCTTCCTGCACTTAGCACAAAATCTCCGTTCGATTTGAACTAGCTCCACAAGTTGAGCTTCCTTCAACCCTACATTCGTGTTGTCATCTCCCTAGGGAGAGAGACAGGGAGACCTCTGGCGCCCTATGTCAAAGGTCTCCCGTACTGGCACCTCCCTAACGGGCTGGTGATTGGGTGTCATTTTTGGGCGAGCGACATTTATGATGAATCAACGCCAGATTGTAAATTCCTCAACTGCCTATTATACGGTTCGCTCCCTTCCTCGTCAGTACCTGTAGGGGTTTCAGTAAGGTCATTAGTGATTCTATATCTTGGGTTGCTATATAGGGAGATAAGTCTTACAGCTTGGAAGTCCCCTCGCTACTAAACCGTTTGAGTTGAGTATAGATTTCGTCCGTGCAATTGCGGCACGTCCTTCCTCGGACAGCTCGAAATTCCTTGGTGATTGCGGGGTGGACCGGGCCTCTTGGTACTAGCATGGTAGTAGTGGTGGTAGTAGTAGTAGTAGTAGTAGTGGTGGAGTTCCTGTAGTGAGATAGAATTGTATTACGTAAGGTTGCTATGATGGAACCCTTGTAATCTCACTACACTTCCTATTGCTCTCCTCAGAGGCTACTATTCTTGCGGTGATATGCTTGCTCGTCGTACGCGTCGTCATCTTTTCAATGTATCAGCGTTATCCAGCACTCCAACTCCTATTGTTGCCAGACCACCTACATATCACGGCATTGAGCCATCCTCTGTAGAGGTGAATACTCACGGCCAGACGTGAACAGGACATCTCCCTCTCAGCTGGTGAGAGCCCCCAGGCTCTCGGTATTGCCGCCGCTGGACACCCTAGAGTTTGGGAAGAGGTTTTCGGATCATATGCTCGAGATTGACTACAATATGGCTACTGGATGGGCGAAGGTAGTGGGAATAATTTCGCGGTGCAGCGGTCATGGTCACGGGTTTAGCCACGGATAATGCCGATGGGGGACATCAAGGTGCATCCAGCATCTCCTGTATTGCATTATGCAGTAGGCTGCTTCGAAGGACTGAAAGTGTAGATGTTATTATTATTTTCATACCATATTTTTCGCAAATCATGGAGCGCAGATATAGAGTGCCAGAGGGCATCAGAGAGTTTCGTCTGTCTAGTAACATTGCGCGTTTCGCCAATTCCATCCGGCGTAGTGCTATGGCTGACCTCACCAAACAGGATGAGAAAGCTATGTAGTGTCGCAAGGGCGTCCATAATGTCCACCAGTTTGGAGAGTAGATACGACCTCATCAGAGAGCTGGTATTAATTGACGAGCACATGATACCGTCAGAGCCGGGTTATTCCCTCTATATTCGCCCGACATGCATTGGAACCCAAGTAGGCCTGGTCATAGTCACTGGCACGGTCATGGTCCAATCATGGCAGGCCATATTAGGAGTATTGCCTCCTACTGATGCCAAGTTGTTCGTCATTAGCAGTCCTGTCGGACCGTAGTGTTGTCGAGGCTGCTGCTGTTGATGATGTGATGCCTCGTGGGATGATAGGTATTATAAGTCTGGATTCAAACCAGTGTCGCTACTAGCATCTAGCAAGGCTGTTAGGGCTTGGCCTGGAGGTAACGTTATTATGGACGATCGTAGTACCGCCATATTTGGACTAGGCACGGGTGCTCAGAAGGTCGGGGGTAATTACGGACCAACGCTCTTACCGCTGCGGGAAGCAGTGAGTGTGCTCATGCTGAGCGTGTCGTGTTAGCAGCGGTGATGTTATGCAGATCGAGATGGGGTATTCACAAATACTATGGTTACTCCCGACCGACTCGTCGGCTGAGGACTACTATGTAACGGAGGTTGGTAATAGCTGGCTGGATAGGGTTCAGTGTTGTGGATGCATCTTGCGTTATGAAGGTACTATGAATCTGTTCTTGGTGTTCCGTACTCCTGATGGTATGGAAGTGGTGACACCACCGTTGAGTGATGTGATACTACCAGGAATCACCAGAGACTCGGTATGGACTATAAAGTCTGTTTGCCGGGAGTTGAACCTGCTACCTCTGGGATGAGAGCGCAGCGCTCTACCGCTTGAAGGGTTTATTGATAGTGTTTTCAGGCGCTTCAAGTTTTGAGGTCCGAGGGGGCTCCCCGTGGCATAGAGGTATCAGAGAGGCATGTAACCATAAACGAGGTCATCGCTGCCTATGAGGCCGGCAATCTCCTCGAAGTCTTTGGTAATAGCTTCCATTCGACCGTGGGGCGGCGACGTTTATTCATATCGGCTGCTCAAAGTCTGCATCCGCGATTAGAGTATGCTGTCTAGGAAATTGATATGTCCTTCTCGTGATGTGGTAGGTACGGGGACAGCAGCTATTGTGTGTCCAGTTGATTTGATCAACTTCAAAGGAAAGGATATCCATGTATGACGCTCCTCGACGCTCCTCTTCTACTACACTTGAGTCCCTAGCAGATACCAGTGGACAATCAAGTTGGGACCGGGCCTATCTGCAAGTTTGTTTTGGACACCGTACGTGGTAGAGGCATGTGTGAATCTACTCCTGGTCGCGACTCAGATTCAAGAAGCTCAGAGAGGATTAGGAGTGTTTGGTGAGAAGTGGTCAACACTGTGGACCCAGGATATGCGTATAACGCAAAGTCCTGTAAATTTCTAGTAGTACCATAGCGCTGCCGTCCGCCACCACGTTTAGCTGCCTTTCTTCCTCCCAGGTACGCCGATGTTTGCCACCAATACACCCAAGCGTAACTTTTTAACGTCCTGTACTATTCTCATTATTAATAGTCTATGTTGGTCTAATGCGAATGCCGATCTCGCATCCTCATCATCATCATTGCTCCTCCTCCTGCTGCTGCTACGCCATCGGCGGCGACACCGCAGGCTATAGTACATGAGTTTTCTAACTTGAGCTCCATTTTTGAGGGTGGCCACTACCGTGTTGCGTATGGATAGTCTAATCGATACAACGTCGTGCATCTAGACGCTTTTAGAGGTGTTATGACGGTTTTCCAATGTCCGTTGAGTTAACGAAATATCGTCTGATCTCACGTCGAACGTAAGATTAGTAACAGTTTAAAGATCTATAGAAGTTCAATCGTAGCAGACTAACATACTAGCTTGACGGTAGATACTCAGCTCCATCACAATTCTACGACAACTATGGAGGACGACAATCTTTTGTGTCTTCGAGTGACCGCAACATTCTCACTTCTCATTATCAAAATCCGTGGAATCCAAGACAGTGTAAACGCCACCACCGTTGACTGACGTAGCAATAACCAGAGATTTGGTATGGAATTCGCATAATATCCATCTACCGGGATTTGAACCTGCGACTATTGAGGATTAGGAGGCATTGCAGTGGATCTTCTGTGTACCGTGTTGTTGTTTATGCGTGCTCCTCCAAGTGTTGATGGGACGTATGCGTTCTGTATAAGAAACTGAACCCTCGTTAGTTTCCCCGATTGAATACTTGTTTACTCCTATTGTCAATCATCACAAGACCTTAGGTAATATCTATGGTAGAGTTTTTACTACTATAATGTCTAGCCGCCAGCCTCTGGTCGCTTTGGTTGTCGAGGAGAGGTCCGCCATCACACCTGTTGGTGGTCGGCCGTCAGTCTGTGCGTCCTATTCTCACCACCGAGCGAAGACTGTTATCCTCATCTGCTTCCTCATTGGCTGTCTCCTGGCGGCAGGAGTGACGTGGAAATATCCTTTATATATCCAAGGTGACACCTAAAACGAAGCTCTAGTCATCGTCACCATGACCTCTGTCGCAGAGGTGTACACAACAACGTTGCTTAGGTGGTCTTCTGGCCAGCACCACTACCCAAGCAGCATCCCAGAGTGGTGGTGATGACTCCTTCACTATCCTCAGCGTTAAAGTTGCGGTCTATACTGCTCTGGCCATTATATGCCTCACCACGTTAACGATAGGAGGCCTGGCTTTTACCGCTAAAGTAAGCTATTGCTCGCCACACGTTCTATAGGAATCGAACTCGGTAGTGACGTCTCCTACTTCAGTGCTTGTCAACGCGTCAAAGTGGAGTAGGTCGATTCATCCGAATAGCCTCTCCTGAGATCCTCCTATATACCTGCGGTATGGTGTGCCTATATTCTGCTGCTGCTATCAACTTAGCCATACCAAGGTAGCACTCGTAACATCAGTCACTGATGTGGGCGTCGCCTTAGGCTGTTCGGGGCTATCATCAACCTAGTATCGGTGCCCTCTACCATGATCCCTGCTGCTGACAAGCGTGCTCGCCTCAACGAGGAGGCTATGGAGCTGCTCATCTGTCTGGTGTTATCGAATGTCTTCAGTGGAGGTAGAGCGGCTTACCTCAGTGTTGCCGGAGAGCGCATTGTAGCCCGACTAAGGTGGGGGCGGACGGCCCTTCCTAAGTAGCATGATCATGCCCCGTGTATGTTGCTTAGGAAGGACCTCTTCTCCAACCTTCTGCGCCAAGAGGTTGCCATGTATGACGAGACGAAGTCAGGCGAGCTCACCAGTAGACTTTCCAACGACGTTACGGTAGCAGTCGTAGCTGCCATTCCTCCGAAGACTCCATCCTTGGCCTTAGACCCTACAAGATGCCTTGACCGTGAACCTCTCTGTGGGTGTCCGCTCTCTCGCCGCCGTAATTGGTGGTACCATCATCCTCTTCGTGATATCTACTCGACTAACTCTTGTAAGTGGCGAAAGATCGGCCTGGCGTAGTCCTGTCGTGGTTTATGCTGGCAGGCAGTGTTAGAATATCATTTGCTCAGGAGTTTCCTTACTCGAAATACAAGTTTACATACAAACTTGTGTAGAAGTGTACGGAAACCAATGAGAATTTCCAGAAATTCCCTCAGAATTTTGATATTCTCCCCCTACACTGTGGTGGTCCGATTCAGATGATGCTGTCGGTGATTCCGCTAGCGGCCATCGCTACTATGGTATACGCCAAATTTGTAGAGCAGCTGTCGAAAGACTACCAGAAGGAGCTGGCCTCGTCCACTGAAGTAGCGAGTGAAGCTCTGAGTAACATTCGCGTTGTGAAGACGTTCCCTCGAGGGGAGGCTAAGGCCGAGACTCGGTACCACACCTTTGACGAATCATCTCAAGGCTGTGTACAGGTACTCCCATCATATAGATAGGAGCTATGCTATCGGGGTTAAGAAGTCGTTTGGTCTAGGAGGCTTCGGCTGGGTGGTGGGTATTATGATATATGTGTCGATGACAGGCGTGGTGTGGTATGGTGCTGGCCTGGTCCTCAGTGGAGACATGCTCCCTGGTCAAACTACTACCATAAGGCTGTTTGTGTGT